CAAGCTGTCGTTTTATCCAGGGGAACTGATCTGTGTTGTCTGGAGATCAGGTGTAACTTCAGGAGGTATCCAGGCCCCACCTGGAGGTTGGCAACCCGAGCTGAGATTAATTTAGTAACCTGTACTGCTACAAAAATCGTGTGTTATTTCACCATTCTTCTTTTCCAGAGTTAATAAACACCAAACTACTGCCACTGAAATCTTAAGAGCTCAGTTCACAATAAATAGACACGCATTGCGATAAATGGACCTCGTTCACTGCTGAACCAGAAGACACCCACAGGACTGAAATTTATCTTCTATTTCCAAGGAACAGAAAGAGGAGGGGAAATAACCATGCAAAAACAAATTGGTGAACATTTTCACGTCAAATAGCACGAGAAACGTTTCCACCAAATTTGGATTAAGAGGACATGCTGACACGGATGGTTGCGACATCACCCAGGCCTTCGAGAATCACAGACAACATTTAAGTTCCATGAAAGAACTCCTTGATTCCGAAGCCGAGCAGGCAAGTCTTTTGCTGTAAATTTTGAAACCCAAGGAACACAAAAAGCAAAATACAAAGCTATTATTTTGATTCTCCTTCTCCACCCCCCACAAAGGAAAAACAAATTAAAGGCGGTGGAGGGGGAGACCACAGCACTGTCAAAAGGATGTGCCAAATGTTAAAAGAAGATAAAGTCGCCCCTGAGCCTGCTTTGCGGGGGGGGGGGTATAAATTTGACAATAAGTAAATCAATAAAAATTAACTACAGTAGGAGTCCAGGCAGCAACACTCAATTGCTGTATTAAACAAAGACACAGAAAAAGCAATGCTGTACGATGCAATGACGGCAGAGTAGAAAGCAGCACAGGTTAAAGAATACTAGCTGGTTTTTAAATGCAACGTGATCAAAAAGCCTACCTTTTCAGACCCAACAACACACTCACAGGGCAGTATGAGAGAAAAAAAAGGAACAAGAAAGGAAGGAACACAACAAAAATTAGAAATACCACAGGAATACTGATAAAAAGTAAACAGGCACGGACAAAAAGAAACACTGAAGTTAAATACACTGTTTATTCCACGAGATATGTTAATAATAAGTCACACGAAGTCACACTGTAAGCAGTAAGGTAAAGGTAAAGGTTCCCTTGCTCGAAAGCCAGTCGAGTCCGACTCTAGGATTGCGGTGCTCATCTCCGTTTCAAAGCCGAAGAGCCAGCGCTATCCGAAGACATTTCCGTGGTCATGTGGCCGGCATGACTAAACACCAAGGCGCACGGAACGCTGTTCCCTTCCCACCGAAGTGGTACCTATTGATCTACTTGCAATTTCTTGCTTTCGAACTGCTAGGTTGGCAGGAGCTGGAACTAGAGATGGGAGCTCACTCCGTTATGCGACACGACCTAGAGATGGGAGCTCACTCCGTCATGCGACACGAACTAGAGACGGGAGCTCACTCCGTCATGCGGCACACCCGGGTCTCGAACTGCTGAACTACCGACCTTCCACAGCCTGCAGTTCAGCGTCTTAACCACTTGAGCCACCACAGCTCCATAAGCAGTACTGATTAGCAAAAGCAAATGTTAGTTTTCTAGTCTTTAGCAACATGTTCGGTAGAACGTGATGGACGATGCTCAATAAACAAGGGCTGCACAAGTGCACATGACTGTACCCAGATTTGTGCACAATGCCACTGAAACACTGGAGTGGATCCAAAGGTCCTCTTCTGACAGTGCAACAGAAAGGAGTAATTTTGGATTTCTCCGCTCCCGCTTTACCCTCCTATGCTGTTTGTGGGAAGCAGAATTTGGGGAGGTTCGTTGGGATGCTGGAATAGGCAGGAAGAAGAGTAGGTTTTTCTACTCCACTTTTTCTCTACCTTAAGGAGTCTCAGAGTGGCTTACCATCACATTCCCTTCCTCTCCCCACAACAGGCACCTTTGTGAAGCAAGTGAGGCTGAGAGAGTCCTGAGAGAAATGTGACTGGCCCAAGGTCACCCAGCAGGCTTCATGTGGAGGATGAGTGGGGAATCAAACCCGATTCTCCAGATCAGAGTCCACGGCTCTTAACCACTACTACACCACGATGGTCCCAATCTTCAAGGTTCACTCCCCTCATGGGACTTCAGATCCAATCCACCAAGTCAGTTTGCTTATCTCAGACTAAGGACTCCACATTCAATCATCAGGATACACTAGAGATGGTCTTCCATACACTTTTGGAAATCTGTCTGTTGCTAAATTACTTTTTCCTACTCCTACATAGCCCTTTCACTTTGTCCATTTTAACTACAAAACATCTAACACCCCCCCCCCATTTTCATTAGAAATGATCCCAAAACCTTTGTAGTATCTGTCACAATGATCTGTTTCTATCCAGGTTAGATTTACAGTAATGGGCTTCACATGGGGCTGCCTTTGACAACAGTCTGGGAACTTTAGCCTAGTTGCTGTATTTTGGACAAGCCACTTTCAGCAGTGGGATACAGGCACTGTATCACCTCCATGCTGAAAGGTCTGCACCGGCTACCCATTTCCTTCCCAGCACAATTCTAACTGCTGCTTCTTCCCTTTAAAGCCAGAATTTGCTTTGGGCCATGGTAGCTGAAAGATCATCAGTTAACAGGTACCTCCCAAGCCATCCCCTCTGTGCCTCCACCTTCCAAGGTAAGGCAGGGGGCAACCAGAGACAGGTTCAAAGGTGGAAACAGCTGCCTAGAGAGGCGGTTAGCTCCCCTTCACTGACAACTTTCAAGAAGAGGCTGGACGAATATTTGACAGAGATGCTTTAGGCTGGCCCTGCATTGGGCAGGGGCTTGGACTAGATTGGTCTGTAGGGCCCCTTCCAACTCTATGATTCTATGACTTTTCCAGTAGTGGCACCTTGCTTGTGGGATGCCCTTCCCCTTGAAGCTTACCTTGTCCCTGCAGTGTTTTCTTTTAGGTGCCAGGCCAAAATGTTTTGGTTCACCCAGGCCTTTAGTTAAGGGGTTAATTTTTTAAATAACATCTTAGTTTTGAAACTGTTGTTTTAAGCTGTATGTGGTTTGCTTTTATGATGGGCTGGGGATTTTTTTTTTAATGCTGGACTTTAATATCTTTTCATGTTTTGTTTTTATTATTTTTATTTTGTAAGTCGCCTTGGGCAGGTTTCTCGGAAGAGGGCATAAAAATAAATAAAATAAGACAATTTCCCTTTGCATTTTTAGCCTGCCCTTCTGTTACATACCTGAATGGCGTGAAGATTATCATGTTTCCCATTGTTATACGGTGATTAACCTGTCAGGGAATCATCTGCTACGACTTCTACATGCTGTTTCTAACATACTCCGGTTCTCTGGTTTAAACTAGTCTTGTTTAAAAACCAGGGAAAAGGAGCATGTTACACTTCCTCCCCAAGACTTTAACTCAAGTCTGCAAGTTCACAGTCTACCCCTCTAGGCACTATGTCACACTGGCTCCCAGTTCCAATTTAACAATTTGCGACAGTTCAGAAATGTTAGGTCCTGTTCTCCAAATGAACTAGCCAAGCACTCTTGAATCTGATCTCTTAGGCTGCACACCACATAACAGTGTCAGCACTATCATGAGTCCTGCCATGGAATACACCCACGTAAAGAGGAAGGAAGCAGGTAAGCTAGGAACAAAACATCTCAGATGCAGTACAGAAACTGGCATCTCGATCTGCAATGATGTAGTTGACAATGTGATATGAAATTAATCCAGGACACAGTGCAGATTGTAGTCATCATGAGCTCAATAGAATGCACCCACTTACCAAGCGCATTCAATTACTTCAATCTGCCCAGTAAAAGACACTTCTTACATCAATTTGAGAAGGCTGAAACATCCCAAGAAACTGGGATTGCCTGGTTGTCTATCGTTTATAATTGGGTGGTAACACCTAGGATTTTTCCCCCAGCTTTGAGCATACATGTTTCTTAAGTAAACTGGAATCCTGGAATTAAGATGTTGTTATAAATTACACCGAGCTATGGGGAATACTCCCTCCCACGAGTATCGCGGGTCCCCCTTCTTTGTTATATTACAGAAAGTTCTTTCTTATGTGAACTGGGATTACAAATTTTCTCCTCCTGCCTCTATTCAACATCCATTTCATCAAGACCCAAATCCCTTAATCAATTATTATATGACCACTGGGATCTACCGTTCCCCAATGCTGACTGCAAGTGTATCTATTTTCAGCAACCAAAAGGCTTTTCTGCAAAACTTTCTAAGTCTTCATCTAGATAGTGCTAAATCAATCAGATCAGGACTCTAATAACACACTGTTAAAATGTGTACCCCGATAACAGAATCCAGTAAATTGGAACGTGACAACAAAGCCTTCATAAAAGGGAAAAATCCGTATCACTTGCAATTTCTAGTGTTTCAAACCTACCATGGAAAAATACTTCCACAGGTTTGTTATATATTTAGTTCTTAGAAAAATATCCATGTTTTACAATTACCAAGGTCTTCAGGGACAGGGGTCCTTATTCTAAAAGTAGCACAAAAAGTCACCGTAGATTCACGTACTACTCAGGCAGTACTCATAAGAACAGGCAATTTAAGATAGTACAGAAGGTTACTGTTACTTCTTAGCTGTGGGCTTGGATTAGAAAAAATATACTGAACTCTTT